ATTTTCAGAGGTTCTTGAGACACATCTCAGGATAGTGGCAATTGCTCAACTCCGGAGCCAGCCTATCAGGGCTCAAATTCTCCCACTTACTTGTTATGTAATGTTGGACAGGTTAGTTAACCTCTCCGGGCCTTACTTTTCCTCTCCGGAAAGGGGGGATTAACCCCAGAATCTACCTCGTTAGACTGTGATGGGTCAATATGTATTAAGTATCTGAGCAGCTCCTGGTATGTAATAATTGTCCCGCTAATATTCCTAAGATTATTATTTTGTGAAACTTTTGTTCTGGGTGTGTGTGTGTTGAATCAAGATGTGAAATGAATTTCTTATTGTGGTTTGCAGTAAAAAGTGAAAGGAACAGAATTTAGGAGAGGAAGTCTCAGCTCTGTTCTTTAAACCTGTCAACTAATTGGATCAGGCCCACCCCGATTATCCAGGATAATCTTCCTTACTTAAAGTGAACTAAATATAGACTTTAATCGCATCCACAAAATACCTTCGTGGCAATACCAGGATTAGTGTTTCAATAGCTGGGGACTGTAGCTTTGCCAAGCTGACACATCGAACTGACCACCATAACCACAGACCTAATCAATTAATAAGCAGTAAAGCATGCTAGATGGTGGGAGGTGTTAAGGAGGAAAGAGAAGGAGAACAGGGTAAGAAAGATCAAGAGTGTGAGGATGGGAAGGGCCTCACAGAGAAGGTGACATATAAGCAAAGGACTGTAGGAGGCAAGGAAGGAAGCCATGTGGCTATCTGGGGCAAGGGCAATCCAAGGAGGGGGAAGGGTAAGTGCAAAGGCCCTGAGGCAGGAATGTTCCTGGAGCATTCAAGGAACAGCTAGGAAAGAGCGGGTGGGAGAAGAGGTCAGAGAGAGAGGCCAGGACTTGGGCTTTTACTTAGTGAGACAGGGACCATGGGAGGGCTCTGAGCTGAGGAGGAGCACGAGCGGCCTTGTGTTTTAACGGGATCACTTTTGGGGTTTGAAGTACGCTCTAGGAGGTCAAGAGCAGAAGCAGGGACACCAGCGAGGAGGTGACTGCCTCAGTCCTGGTGAGAAGTTGTGGTGGGGATCAGGTAGGTAGTAGTGGGCTGGGGGAGATGGTTAGATTCTGGGTGTATTCTGAGGGTAGAGCGGACAGGATTTCTGTTTTGGATGTAATGAGACATTTGAGCAGGTATTTCATTGACAGTGGTAAGTGATGAGAGTGGAATCTGGTGACTGACGGAGGAGAGGGAAGGAAGGGTGGGAGGCAGAGGGGAGAAGGAAGAAAGGAAAGATAAGGAGAAGAAGGGAGGGAGGAGACCAAAGGGACAGACTGAAAGACACATAAAGGAACAGGAAGAGAAACCTAAAAAGTGATCTCTCAGCATGCTCAATACAGATTAAAGTTAAAAAAAGGTTAATGGAGTTACCTTTTCTTCTCCTTCATAGGAAATCCTCCAGAATGGGGACATCTGGGTGGCTCAGTCGGTTAAGCATCTGCCTTTTGGCTCAGGTCATGATCCCAGGGTCCTGGAATCGAGTCCTGCATCAAGCTCCTTGCTCAGTGGGGAGTCTGCCTCTCCCTCTGCAGCTCCCCCTGCTTGTGCTCTCTCTCTCTGACAAATAAATAAATAAAACCTTAAAAAAAAAAAAAAAAGAAAAGAAAAGAAATCCTCCAGAATGGCCCCAATTCTGGTCAACAGTGGAAATTAGCTTTAACTTCTGCGCACGCTTCACCAGGACACCTAGACCTCCGTGGGTGCACGAATTCATTTTCCAAGCCCCACAAAATGGTAGGCACCCATGCGCACAGTGGGAACCTGAGGTTCAGGGATTGGACCTTAGGCTCGCATGCCTCAGGGCTCAATGGGAACTCTGTGGGGTTCTAGGTCAATCTTTAGTGGATCTGATTTTCCTTCCCCAGCGCTAAGTGGGTGCAGAACTTCACCTCCTAAGCCCAAAGTGGATCTGGAGGTCACTTCCAAGTGTTCGCTCCTCTGCATGGAGTACAGCCTCAGTCTCCTCCTCTGTCCTGCTCGAGAAGGGGCAAAGTGACCGCACAAAGCCCCTGAGCAGACGTTTCTGGTTGCCCTTCCAGCCTACCCTGCCCCTTGTCTCCCTGCTCTGAGCCCAGGAGGCTGCCTTGTGAGCTGTCCATCTGCCTAGCTGCCTTGTCTCTGTGTTCAGGGGGGACGGGGGAGGTGCTGGAGGATGCCAGCCTGCTTGCATCCTGCCTCAACTTACCCACACCTGCAGAGCTCCAGACGCCTCACTTCTGCCCCCGGCTCGCTGTCTCCAGCCTTCTCATGAGCTGATTTAGACCAGCTCCCCTCTCAACCCAGACTCCCCCTGGTGTGAAGAGCATTCTGGATGCCTCCCCTGAGTGCCCCGTGTATTAGTTTCTCAAGGATGCCTCAGTTTCCAAGGGCAGCTGTAACAATACCACAAAGTGGCTTAAAACAACACAAATATACTCCCCCATTTCTGGAGGCTAGAAATCCTGAAACCAAGCTGTTGGCAGTATCGTACTCCCTCTGAAGGCTCTAGGGGAGGATCCTTCCTTGCCTCCTGCAGCCTCTGGCTGCCCTGGGCCTTTTTTTTTTTTTGAAGATTTTATTTATTTATTTATTTGAGAGAGAGAGAGAGAGCACTTGAGCGGTGGGAGGGGCAGAGGCAGAGGGAGAAGCAGACTCCCCACTGAGCAGGGAGCCCCACGACTCTGGGCTCTACCCCAGGACCCCGGGATCATGACCTGAGCCGCTTAACCGACTGAGCCACCCAGGCACCCGCTTTCCTCTTCTTATAAGGACACCAGTCATGTTGGATTAAGAGCACCCCCTACTCTAGTATGACCTCATCTTAACTGATTACAACTCCGATGACCCTATGTCCAAAGAAGGTCACATTCTGAAGTACTGGGGGTTAGGACTTCAACATACCTTCTTTTTTGGAGGGGGACAAAATTCAACTCATAGCACCCATTGAGGGCCTTATGCTCACCATGTCCTAACTGACCCCATTCCCCCAATCGGAACCTGCACAAGACACCCGCATGTCACCCAGACGTCTCCCTTCCCCTGGGCATCCAGGGGAGGCAGCCAGGACGCTGTGACTCGTGGAGAGTCTGGGCAGAGTGGGGAGTTGGGTCTCAGCCTGGTGTGGAGGTCATGGGAAGCCTGACGTCAGGGAGCCATTGGAACAGGTGCACGGAGCTCTGCAGGTGTGAGGTGTTGGAGGAGATGGAGCTCAGGGTCCATTGCTCCCTTGGCTTCTTTAGTGTCCTCATCTTCTGTCAGCTACCCTGCCACTTAATTACCAGTTGAATAAATGACTTAACTCGTTAAAAAAACAAACCCCGCCAACTTGACAACCACTAACTACTTGTCTCCAGCCCTCTCCTCTGAGCCCCATCGCAGGTGTCTAGAAGCTTCCAGGATGCGTCACCCTGTGAAGTGCTTGTGGATGTCCCCAGGAGCCTCCCATCCTCCACACTCCAGACCCACCTCAGCATCTTCCCCTCCCTCACTACTCCGGGTCTAAAGTGCACCCCGGGGGCGCCTGGGTGGCTCAGTCGGTTAAGCATCTGCCTTTGGCTCAGGTCATGATCCCAGGGTTCTGGGATCGAGCCCCGCGTCGGGCTCCCTGCTCGGTGGGGAACCTGCTTCTCCCTCTCCCTCTGCTGCTCCCCCTGCTTGTGCACTCACTCACTCTCTCTCAATGTCAAACAAATAAAATAAAACCTTAAAAAAAAAATAAAGTGCACCCCGTTGTAATGCCCCCAAGTACGGCGCACAAGACCCCTTGTCCCTTTCCATACCTGCTGCCCACGCTTTGTCAGACACGGTCCCTTTATTAAACTATGAAGCTCTCCTCCATCGCCCCATTTGAAAGGTCATCACCTTCCTGCCCGATGCAGCTCCCTCTTCCTCTGGGGCTCACCCTGCTGCCCGGGGCCCACCACAGCTCTGGGGTTGGGGGGTCCTCTTTTTATCTATCGTTTGACTTAACTTGGGGGTCTCTGTTGTGCACAGAGCTGTGTTTTTGGAAAAGCTGTGTTTTGTGAGGTCCTGAACTGGGCTCTTTGGTTCCCTGTGTGACTAGCGTATACACGTAGGGGCCCACGGTGCAATTCGCAGTCTGGAGATGCACCATAAAGGTCAAGTTCTCACCAGGGTCTGCAAGATTCTCAACTGCCCTCCCCACGTGACTCTCTGATCTTCACTCTTAATTACTCAGCCGGCCTCCCACCACCGCAGGGGCCTTTGAATCTGCCGTCCCCTCTGCCCGGAATGCTGTTCCTCCAGATAGTCTCTGCTTGCCTCATTTCGTTTGGATTTTGCTCACATGTCACCTCCACAGAAAGGCCTGCCCTGACTGCCCCGTAGAAAACAGTCTCTCCTTTCTTTCTGCACCCCTTTACCATATCTGCTTTTCCTGCAGAGCACTTCTCACCCACCTGTCATGTTACTATATATTTGCTGATTGATGGTCAATGCGCCCCCTGCCCCATGAGAAAGTCAGCTCCGTGAGGGCAGGAGCCCAACCCACCAGTGCCTTGAAAGGCCTGGCACAAAGTAAGTGATCAATAAGTATTTGTGGCCTGGTGGAATGAAAGAAACCCTGATATGATTTGTGCATGTGTGCATTTCCAAGGGGCCAGGGACCATATTTTCCGTTGCCTCTCCAAAGCGGGTCTGGGAGCCCAAAGTTTAAGAACTACCATCAAGTTGGTCCTGGCAGATCTGTGGTCTAGCGGGCCGGGAGGGGGACCCCTGGACAGAGCCCCAAGAAGGACATGGAAAAGGAATCTGGGGTTAAGGTGGAGGCTGGGACATGGGGACCAGTCCCTAGGTGACCTGTGTTGGAGGACGTGGTGGGGGCACATCGTGAGAGGAACCCAGACCCATTCTTGTTCTGTCTCCTGTTTCCCCCGCATTGGGACAAACGTGGTTCCTTCCCCCAGCCTCCAGGGGAGAAGACAGAACCAGAGTGATTTCAAAGACAACCAGAAATGCTCTTTATTCACCAGAGCTGAACACCAGGGCCCCAGCCCTGAGCCCCAAACTGAGCAACTTAAAATCTGAAGGGAGCTCTTTCTTTTCGTTGCCCCTAAAAGAAAATCTAGGCAGTTGCCTTTCCCATCTGGGCACTAAAACCCCTTTTCTTGTTGGAGCTTCGTTGATTAAGTGTTGGAGGATGAAAAAAAAAAAAATGGGAGGGAAAAAAAACCAAAGACCTTTAGCAAACCAGGAGGATTTGAAAGGTGGGTGGGAGTCAGTGGAGAGCTGCCCTCCTGCAGGGGGAAACGCCCATCGGTGATTTGCAGGTTGGGGGCGGGAGTGCAGTGAAACAGAATCAACAAGAAGGTCGATGAGGGGAGCTGAAGGGTGTGGCAAGCACCCCAAGGCTCTCCACTCCCAGATAAGCCTTGGAAGACCAGGTGCCCCCCTCCCCCTGCAGCGTGTCTCCTCCCATCCCCAGCTCCTGATGGAATGGGCTGCTGGGGCAGGGAAGGAACAGTCCAGGGAGGTTTGTGATGAAACCGTGGGTCTACAGGTGACTGAAGAAGGTGGACAAGGCTGGTCTCAAGTCAGAATCCCATCTTGGAAGTTCTTGGGCTAGAGTGTCCAAGCCAGTCTTGTTCACTCTCTCCAGATTCTAAGGGCGGGCCTGGGAGAGCACGCTGGGTCCTGTAGGTCCAACGGTCCAAGAATTCCAGAAGGAATGGAACCATGGAGCTGAGAAGTCAAGGGGGCAGGGCTCATGTCACCAGCAGCCCCAGAAAGACGAAAGATCCATGAACTGGGGGCCCAGAAGGAGCCACAAGGCCGTGCGGTCCAAGGGCAGCGGTCCTGCCGCATCCAGAATCCACAGACACCCTCAGTTCAGAACCCCAAGGCCTGAGAGGTCCCGGGGGCGGGGGCAGAGCTGGCCTGGCTCCCCAGTAGCCTGCATTGTTTCAGGATCCAGCAGGGAGTAGCTCTGGGAGCCAGAGGCTCCCAAAGGCTGGGTGAGTCAGGGGGAGGGTCCGGGGACTTGGCAGGGACCGAACCAGGAGGGTTGGGGGGCGCGGGGCGGGCATCTCGCGCTCCTCAGCGCTTGACCTTGCGGCCGGCCGAGTTGCGCCCGCCGCGCCGGTAGAGAGACTGCTGGCCGCCGTTGAGCGGGCAGTACTTGAGCGTGTGGGCTTGGCCCCCGGTGGCCCCGCACAGGGGACACACATAGTGCCGCAGGATGGGACACACCACCACGCCCTCTGAGGTCTTCAGCTGGTGTGAGGAGTAGACGTGGCGCGATTCCCCGTTGTGCTTGCAGAAATTGCACAGGGTGGCCAGGCCTGTGCTGGCCCCCGGCCCTCCCAGACCCTGCTCCTGCCCCAGCTGGGGCCCAGGCTCCCCCTCCCCATTCCCCTGGGCCTCTGGCCTTTGCCCCCCGCTCTGGATCAGGGCCAACACCACCTGGTTCAGGTTGAAGTAGTCCTTCCACATGTCAAAGGGCGGCAGCTGCATGGCTCCCAGGCAGAGGTGGGGGGCGGGGGCGGGGGACGACTAGAGGCAGGCCAGGGCTTCGGGGGCGGGTGGTCAGGAGCAACAGGTGCTTTTCTGGAGCAGAGAGGAACTGCACCCCCTCTTATACTCCCCCAAACACCCTTCTAAGCAAAGGTGGAGCTTAGGATTTAAAGGGCCCACTCCCTGCCCACGATCCCCGTCGGACCGTAATCCCCCACGGAGATGGGGAAGGAGGCCCTTCCCCTTGTCTCTGGTCCTTGCTCAGCCTCCAGGGCGCCCCGCGACTTCTGGAAAGGCCCATCCTCTCCCTGGACCTCAGTTTCCCTACCCATTCCATTAAGATCCATGTGTTCAAATGCCCCCTCGCCCCCATCCTCCCTTACTCCAAGGCTAGGGGCCTCCAGATACTCCAGAACCATTCCTGATAATAATAACAGGTCCTTACCACCAGCCAGACGCTGTGCCGCACAGTAGTTATCTGCGCGATCTGATCTCATTCTCACAACGTCTATGTGGGAAACACAGTTATGAGCCGCACATGATAGACGAGTTACCTGAAGCTCAGAGAGGGATACTCCCTGGCCTGGAGTCACAGAGCATGCAAGTGCCGGAGCTGGGACTCTAACCCAGGTCCTGAACTGGGAGCCATATGTTCAACAAATATTTTTTGAGTGCACACTATGGTGTTCAATGTTGTATAAATGAGATCTATGTTCTAGAAATGAGATCTGTGAGATCTTTGAGATCCACATGATTTGAGCCTCATAACTACTCAGGGAAGTGGGCATTATCACTTGCATTTTATAAAGAAGGATATGAGGCTCAGAGAGGTTAAGGAGTGTACTTTAGGTTGCTCAACAGGGAAAAGGCACAGTTGGAATTCACTCCCAGTCTGACTCTAGAAATACTGGGAATTGATCTTAGAGGCAGCAGAGGACTGTGGCTTGGCACAGTCTCACTTAGAATGCCCCACTGTGGCCCTGTGCATTGTCCCACATCCTACCTGACCTTGGGGGCCAAGAAAAGTCTTGCTTCCTGCCCACACCCCCTCCAGCAATTCTTCCTCCACTAACCTCCATCTGTCCCCTTGACCACTCCACGGGATACTGGAAACTCGGCAGTGACCATGCCGAATCTGGTGCCTGTTTCACGAGCTACCAGCCCACTGGGGGAACAGCCAGCAAATGAGAAAACAATAGACCAAAAACACCCGATTGCATACAGACAGGGTGCTCCGAGGGAGACTGGGCTGCGGGGAAGTGGCCTAGAAGCTGAGACCACAAAGAAGAATCTTCCAGAAAGAGGGAAACAAGATATGGAGGTCTGAAGTTTGGGGACAGCAAAGCGATTGGGGTGGACGGAACAGAGCGAGGATCCCAAGATCCCAGACCGTGGATTGCTTTTAGGGGCTGTTTTGGCAATGGCTGGGGCCCATTGGGTTTGTCACGGTGATCGGCAGTGTGACTGGATTTAGTGGGCAGGGAACCAGGGATGCCGGATATCTCAACAATCCACATGACCAAGATCTGTCTTGGGCCCTATTTAACCATCCAGTGTCCCCACTGGACACCCATATATGTAAAAAAATGCATTTGTGATGATCTGCGTCTAGAACCGCGCTGTTGCACATAAACACTAGTGCTCTCATGGTATTTTCGGATACACTGACTTTTCCTGGGATGCAACCACTGTGTACATTGTTATTCAGAGCTGTTCATTATTTCTAGAAGCCCCACCACCCCAGGCGATGCTGATTGTGGCAACTGTCCAAACAACACACAGTTTGTCCCTGTCTCACTCGTGGGAGTCTACACAGAGATGCTAGTATCTGCCGAAGGAGATGTGTTTTAGATTGGCCTTTTCTGAGCATCCGTACATGAAAACGGATTATTATTTTATTATAAATGGCTGTCTTTTATTTCCCCTTTGTAGCTCAGTTAGGACAGGATATTAATTTTTGAAAATACAACCTGTGCGTTGGTGGGCTATATTACCTATGAGTTTAATTTCAGAATATTATTACTTTATTGTTATTTAATTTATTTATTTATTTGGCAGAGAGAGATACAGCGAGAGAGGAAACACAAGCAAGGAGAGTGGGAGAGGAGGAAGCAGGCTTCCCGCTGAGCAGGGAGCCCGATGCGGGGCT